ACTTTCAAATTGAATCAAGGCACTTTCAAATTGAATCAAAGCAAATTTTAGATTGATTCAAACCAACTTTCAGATTGAATCAAATCAACTTTCAGATTGAATCAAATCATATTTCTAATTGAATCAAGGCAACTTTCAAATTGAATCAAGGCACTTTCAAATTGAATCAAAGCAAATTTTAGATTGAATCGAATCAACTTTCTGATTGAATCAAAGCAACTTTCAAATTGAGTCAAAGCAACTTTCAAATTGAATCAAAGCAACTTTCGGATTGAATCAGAACAACTTTCAAATTGAATCAGAACAACTTTCAAATTGAATCAAAGCAACTTTCAAATTGAATCAAATCAACTTTAAGATTGAATCAAATCAACTTTAAGATTGAATCAAATCAACTTTAAGATTGAATCAAAGCAACTTTCAAATTGAATCAAAGCAACTTTCAAATTGAATCAAGGCACTTTCAAATTGAGTCAAGGCACTTTCAAATTGAATCAAGGCACTTTCAAATTGAATCAAAGCCGATTTTAGATTGAATCAAATCAACTTTCAGATTGAATCAAATCAACTTTCAAATTGAATCAAGGCAACATTCAAAATGAATCAAAGCAACTTTCAAATTGAATCAAATCAACTTTCAAATTGAATCAAGGCAACATTCAAAATGAATCAAAGCAACTTTCAAATTGAATCAAAGCAACTTTCAAATTGAATCAATGCAACTTTCAGATTGAATCAAAGTATCTTTCAAATTGAATCAAAGCAACAAGATTTTTTTCACAAAAACCTTGAATTAAATATTCTGAAAAACACAAAAAAACAAAGGAAGCTTAGAAGAACTCTATGCTGAGAGTATTGTATGCATATTTAAAATTAATACAAAATTTAAGATTAGCCTTTCAAACACAAAGCTTGGTAACTAATATTTGTTAGATGCACAACATGAAAACAATTTGATCCACAGTATTGAAGTTTATAATACTCACAGAAAATCTGTGGTTTTGTGCAGACAAGTTTATTCAAGAGATCCTTTAAAACCGATTTTTTGAGTTATCAGAAATTGACAAATAATAATCAGATAATCAATATGTAAGGTTTTCCACATTAAACTAATCACATCTGTGGGTTCCCCAAGAGCATCTATGTGCCAAATTTCAATGATATTATGCAAATTAGGCAATAAAAATGCTTGAATTTCAATCCACTACTAATTAGGTGTTCAGCGTTGTTCCTAAGCAATACTTGTTTTTTGAGATACAAGTGGAAAATTAGTTACAGTGGGTGCAAGATATTTACATATCGGGTACACCTAACTTATGCCATTGGAAGGCAATTACCAAGGGACTTTGTAACATGCCCAGACATTTTCCTAGACGCTCAAGTGGCAGTTCTAGAAGCAATACAGTTACATACCTGCCTACGTGACAGTTCATCGAAACAATGGGCCAGGGTTTCAGATGGGCTTATCTATTACAACTTGCATGTGTTCAGGCAAACATTTATCAATCAATTATTCATTTTTGTTAACAGACACTTTATTATTTCATACATATCACAGTCACTCTACTAGGACGGTTAGGAAGCGCTATTGTTAAAAGGTGCGAATGAGAAGCTTCTGAGAACCTACGCTGGTCTCAAAACTATGACGTAATTGTCATCGGAAAGCGCTATTTTTCTCCATTATTTATTGCGTTTGATGTTGCTCGAGAAGACGTGAACTTTTTTAAATTGTGCTTTATTTTTATATCAAACTACAATCTCAACTGAACTGTGACTAGGAGTGATATTTTATTTTACAGATGAGAATTCTTTTGCAATCATGAAGATGCTTTACTCGAGAAAAACGGTGTTTTGTTGACAGTCTTTTTGTCTCGATCTCTAACAGTCTTTCGGTTCGTAAAATAAACCCCTCGCTCAGTTTAGAAACAATTTTATCGCTAAAAACATTGATGTCCGCAAACCTTTATAATATTCCTTTGTCCATTCTCGTAATTTTTGTGTGTTTTTAGAGTCACTTTATGGCGAAGTTTTGCATGTTTTCGTCACGGTCGTCTATGGAGGTGGTCGCCGTGTTCCTTTATTGCACGGTTTTCAATGGAAGTAATCAGGCAAAAGAGATTTTTGATTGTTGTGCTTTCATATCCCTCCATTCGCTTTATTTGACGACTGACACAAATCCTGTTCAGCTGTATCGGTGCTACGAGTCATTTTTAGTTTCGTTTGAATATTTTTTTTTTATGACTTTGATAATTTTATGAACGATTTTAGTTTAGCATGTTCACACTGCTTTTTGATTCAGTCGAGACAGGAGCGAGACAGGGTCAAACACCCGGATGTTATTTTTTGCGTGCGATTTTTTGGGGATTCACCAATATAGTATTCTATTAACTATTTATAATTTTAGAATGCCATACAAGACAGCAAGATTTTCTCGGGAAAAACGTGTATATACAAAGCATGTTCATTTCCACATTTGAGACTGCTCTTCGTTGAAAGGTCAAAGTGACATGTATTGCAATGTTTTGTGGGAAAAATGACGCAACTCTCGCACTGTCTCATGATTTATCGCGTGTTTTCCGTCACCCGTTTAATGCTAATGACCTCTAAGCTCGTTAACACCTCTTTTGTTACAATGTTTATGGAGACAAGGGTAGGTACAATAGAACGACGCGGCGCTTCCTAACCGTCCTAGTCGAGTGACTGTGTACATACACAGGCTTGTTCATTTAATACATTCTATTTTGAGCGTTTCACGAAAATAATTAACCTTGTTGATACAAATATTTAAAAAAAAACATCCTAACATATAATGGAATAATATGTTTCTAAATTACCCTTGTGAAAACAGTTTATTTTTCATGATTTTGAACTCATCATTGTCTATACAATTATTGCTATTATGTCAAAGCATGTACATTTGGAAGGAGATTATTCACCTCTTCTTAGGTAACAATAGTTCACGAACGATTGTCAAGAAAGTTGGACTAGCAAGGACAACAGTTCAATGAATTGTGCAACGTCACACCGGTTAGATACATCGACTGAAGGCCACACATAAAATTACTGACTTTATGAAATAGGAATAGTTCAACTACACCGTCCCTTGTGGCCAAACATAAAAGGCATACCACGTTCGATGTTTTAATATCGGTTTATCAAGTGCTCACGAAAGTGTTGGGTAAGTCACTCGGTGATTGCCTACCAGTTATATTGAAATGTGACAATTAGTACTTTCGATCGATGGAAAACCTGGTAATTGACTAATTATGCAAATTAGGTAATTAATATGTGCAGATTTCCCCCAGCAGACGCAAAATAGTTGCATATATCCAACCTTTGCAACATCACCAGAGAACTTGATTTAGTGATCATCCAAACTCTGAATGCGGTATGCTTTTGATGCATAGGCGGGTATATAACCATATTGCGTTTTTACCGGTCACTCAGTAATTGTAATCGGTAACAGGTGCGGGAGTTAGGTGTATGTAAATAA